TCTATATTTTAGCAATCAAAATTATTTTGGTAAAATACGTAAATGACCTAAAACAAGTAAGAAAATAAAGTTGCTTGTACATATAAAATCTAGTGAATGCCATGCAAAAGGACCATTTTAATTCAAAATATGTACTTATTTAAGTTTTAAATGATATTATGCTAAAAAACGACTGTACAGTTGATATTGGTGACCGCAGCTAATCTCAGTTATTCCATCCAACGATTAATATTGGAGTCAAAAAATGAATAGGGATTTTACTGCTGGTACCAGAACGGATTGTAAATTGTTTGAAGCTCCAGTCACCTCTCCAAACGACTCCATGACTTGAGTGTTCCTACCTCCAACAAGAAAGGATATTTATTCTACATCTGTTAAAATAAATGTTAGTTTTATCCTTTGTCATCAATGGAGATCCACGCTGAACGTTTTAAATGTGTCGAAGACATCAAATAATTAAGGATTCTCACGGAATAATGGTTTGTTTTCTAGGTTTGAGAAACTCATAGAGGCATCTTTGTTGGTCATCTAGTTATATTGAATTTTATATCACATTTCATCCATCCATCCATTTTCTACCCTTTAATCCATTTCTGAGTCAGGGGGGTGGCAATCAGAGATGCCACCCAAGTCTCATAGCACCAGCCCCTCACTGATCCTCTGCAGGTGGTGAGTCCACAGGAGGATGGCTGCTCTGCAGTGTGAGCATAGCCTTGATCTTTCAGTGGGGGCTTTGGGCCAAGTGGGGTTAAGTGTCTTGCCCAAGGACACAACGACAGCAGTCATATAAAGCAGTCAGTGGGAGTAGGTGGAGAAGGTGCAGAGGTGGGAATTGAACCCACAACCTTCTGGCCTTATGGCCAATGCTCTACCAACTGAGCTACTGTCGCCCATCACATTAAGAACGATAATATGCAATCAGTGGTCCATATGGGGTGATCCAGCCAATGGAAATTGGGTATCTTTTACGACCACTCTATTTTTTACTCTGTTCCCTCAAATTGAAGAGTAATTGTGATTTGTTTCAGAGAAAAGGGGTCACTAGCTTCAGCTCTCACCCTCTCTTTTACACAAACCTGAGACTATCAGAGCAACAGAAACCTATTTTGGGAAACCTCATCTTTACATACTACCCTTTAACAGAAGAGAAGGTTGTCTGTACACCCCTCTCAGCGGCTTTGCAACATTACTAAAGCTAATAATAAGGCTGATGACAGCTGCCTTTACTCTGGGACATTCCGCTGGGATGACTGGGAGCCCTGATGAACACATCTGAAGAACATTCTATTATTTCTCTTGTAAATATTGTATGAGCTTCTGTGAGCAATCATCAGCAATAGTGTTTGATGCGGTTTAATTTAATCTTGAGTGTATTGACACTGTCAAGGTTTCACATGTGTGGAACTTCATGTTTGGAGGGCTTTGATTACACCAACCTCCAGATTATGTGCATATGTGTTATTGTTGTGTTATTTGAAAAGACCTTTAAAATGTTTATACTTTCATTTCTATTCAAGGTATGACACTTTGAAAGTCAAATGTTCTGTGTTGGTATAGTTGAACATTTTAAGTGAGGGCTCTGAATGTCCTCAAAGATCAAAGCAAATATGAACGTAAGAAATATTGGTCGAACTGTCTGCATTAGCATCACTATTTGTTGTTCAAGTGGCAAACCCTTTTAATAATTCTAATACTTTGGGATTGAAAATACTGTTGTAGTGTTGGAGCCATCAGTCTGAAATAGGCGATGTTGGCATGTTGCACATTCGCACATAAGCAATTACAGCAAAAAGCCTAGGGATTTATTCCAACAGAGTATGACAGATCTGCTGGACTAGCTACTTTTCCTTGGGATTGTACATCCAAAGAATGTCCAGCAGAGTTTTAATGATGTGCTGGAGGCTTCCCAAGGGGATAGCAATTGGTGTGTCTCCCTCCCTCCCTCTCAACACACTAATAAGTATCCAAGTAACATTGTCATTGACACGGTTTTTGGCATCATACACAACACTTCTAAATTGATCCACAGCTTTGGTTTCTGGTGCATCAGTCTTACGTCAAAGGCTTATTTTATTAGTGGATCTAGTCACACAACCCACATTTTCACTTGGTCGTTCCGTCCGTGCGTGTGAAGCCCCCCATGCTGTGGCCCTCCCCACGGTTTCTCACTTTTTTCCACTGGGTTTTTGAGATTTTCCTTGTCGATCCAGAAGGGTCTAAGGACAGTGATGATTCGGGACATTAATGGACATTTGTCACCTCCCCCCTACGTATCTATGGAACTATGGCTACTATGTGTTATTATTGCATCTTATTATTGTTCTGTATGTTTCTCTAATCTGTTGTTGAGAAATCAACAACTTTGTAAAGTCCTCCGAGGTGATTGTTTTAATTAAGGACTATTGAACTTGGGAATAGATAATAATTAAGTAGTAAAGTTCTGTATATGTGTACCTACTTGCATAAATTCTCACTGTTGCCAAGAAAATGTACAGACAATAAATATTGAGCACAATATATTGATATCGATCCATAAGATATTGAACGATAAATTCATGATACTAATCGTGATAGGCCGAGTCGTAGTAAGAAAAACCAGCACACGCACTAGATATTTTGGTGTTTTTCCCTCTTTTTGATCTTGCCTTACCACACTGATCAGACTATGGGCCCGTCCCAATTCTGAGAGTGCCCTCAACAGAAGAGTGCCCTCCCATAGGTGAGTGCACTTGCAGGATACCCTCCCTAATGGAGAAATGGAACACCGCTGGATCTAGGGGACAATATGCAAATCAAAGCAGCAAACGTGTTCTACGTCAGACACAATGTTGATGTGTCGTATAATTAGGGGTGGGAACCTAAGGGTACCTCACGATACGATACACGATACAAAGCTCACGATAACGATAATATCACGATAACAATATTACGATAACGATTTTATCACAATATGACGACTATTGATCAGAAATATCAAAAATGGTCAGAAATATACAATATGCCAATTTATGGCATAAATAAAAGAAAAAATACTCTTTATTTCATGATAAATGGAATGGAGATGCGTAATGTAGCCATATATTAAGTATTGATACCAATTCAAAAAAAAAAAAAACGTAAAAAAAAAAAGATTTTTTATTTTTTATTTTTGAAAATCAATATCGATACTTGGCAAATACATATCGATAATCGAATCGCGGGAGAAAGTATCGCGATATATCGAAAAATCGATATATCGTCACACCCCTAGCTATAATTAGGTACAGGACTGCTCCATATCACGCATACATGTACGCACATAAAGACAAACACGCACACAGAGACAGACACACACGTTCGCACACAGAGACAGACACACACGTTCACACACAGAGACAGACACACACACGTATGCGTGACAGACGAGTACATCCGCAGATCACAAAGCTCCTATCAAAGTGATGTAGCCTCTGAACTACATACTACAATAATAACATGGATCCACGTCTCTGAAGCCTGAATGCCACAAGCATTCAGGCCGTGCCACTAGGCACGGTGGCTGAGTGGATAGCACTCTCGCCTCTCAGCAAGAAGGTCCTGGGTTCGAATCCCGGTCGGACCAGGGCCTTTCTGAGTGGAGTTTGCATGTTCTCCCCGTGTCTGCGTAGGTTTCCTCCGGGTGCTCCGGTTTCCCTTACCACTAAAAATATGTACAATAGGTCTGGCATGTGCCTCCTGTACTGGCACCCCCACTCCCAAAAATAACAATTGTAAACCGCTTTGAGACTCCGATGTGCAGTGAAAAGGCGGTATATATATATAAATAAAGATTACTACTACTACTACAAGCTGCGGCCACTTCACGGGTGAACGTCACCACACACGGCACCAAAACATGCTTAAAAAACCTCTGAATGACTCGTGCACGCTTCGAAGCTCCCACACGTTCACCACATACTTGCGCCCGGGTGTTTCATGCGTTTCATGAATGTCGTTTTCTTATTATGGCACGGCTTTGCCCGACAGCTGCTTTACCAACTATTGTAATGCATCATGGGATCACCCTCGAGCTCAAGAGCTTATTTGCGCGCAAGGGTGGTTTTTATGGGTGTGAGGGTCCTCGCCTCTTCTCCCTAAGTATTGGGATACCCTACAACCTCCATGGGCTTGTAGGGTGTCTTAAGCAAAAATCTAGGGCAAGGGTGAGATTTGGGATAAGTGATATTTGATCATTTTCCAAGACACACTGAATAACATCTCAAGGCACTCTAACGTTTCCGGGCACACTGGTTGAAAAGCACTGATGTACTTAATGCACTTGTATATACATAGTGGTACACAATTTTTTTTGCATGCCTTTACCTATTTTGACCCTTACAACTTGTTTGCACCTTGAGCCAAAGCAAACTTGTAGTAGGTGTTACTTGCTACGGCAATAAAATTCGCTCTGATTCTTCAAAAGGAGTTCTGATTCTGATTATTCTCATGTCCTCATCATGTCCTCATCATGTCCTCATCATGTTTGCAGCTGCTCACCTCCAGTCCCTGCTGGTTGTGAATCATTGGTATGAATTAGCATTGATGCGCAGGAGTGAGAGCAGACACGGGTGCAGGGGACAGCGTAGACCCGGCCTTGAGTGTCGCAAATGCCCTCATCCATCATGCCCAATATAAAGCCCTCAGAGGAGCGGGGACTGTTTCTGCAGCAGGCAACCACCCAGCTTCAACAGACTGAGCGCGAGAAGGCGGCGTTCATTTGTTTTATGTGGCCGTTTTATCAAATTAATGTTTTCTGAAGTTGATTAAAACCTCTCTCCCACCTGTGGTTTTCACTAGATTGAAGAATGTAATGTTTGTGCATAAGCAGTCTAGGGAAATATGAAAAACTGATTGTTTTTTTTGTGCACCAATAAAAATTCCTGAAAAATTATGAAATATTGCCATAGCCGTGCAAAAAAGTGTGATTTTGAACATGATACAAGTGTGTGTGCTAAGTTGACCTTTTGTGTGCTCTTTGTCAGGTGGCGTATCTCAGGCTTTGCGTTCCAAAGGACTGGTCTGAAGATGAAGCGCCACGTGGTTAAGGTGACAGACACCGAAAACTACAGTTTACAACAAATATGTTTTTATTTTATATTTTACTTGCATTGCTAAACTGCTCAATGCTATGTTGACGTACCTGGGTTTTTTTTTTTTTTTACATTTGTCATTAAAAGAAGAGCGGTGGCAATGATAAAAATCTTTGTAATAATCTTTTTTTAATTGTTTTTTTTAAAGATGGTATGTTTTTTTCTTTTTTTTAAACCACATTACAGTCAATAATCAACCTTTACTGTGCATATAGAATGTTTACAAGATGTTAGAATACATATTTACAACATGCTCAAATTAATCATTTTGCTTATTCTCTCATAATAAAGTAATACATTGGCAACCTTGTAATCTTAATATCCAAAATTCTATATATCTTAAAAATCTGAAGCTAAAACAAAACAAACACTAATAGTATAAGGATGGGAAGCCACTCCAGCTTCTTTAGGGTTATAGGTTTTGCATTTTGTCACATTAATCCCTTATTGTTCTACTCTGCACACATTAAACCATGCTTTGCTCTCAGTTTTTCTCTGTTCCTTCCCTGATCTTTAGATGACTGGTAGGACATTATTTTTGAGTTAAGTTCTGGTAAAAGCTTATTACAGAGAGACTAGAGCCTGAGGGCGCTCACTGCGCTCCAGTGTAATTACAGCTGTGGAGCTCATATTGTGTCTGGATCCGTTTTGTTATGCTGCTGTCTGATGTCTTCTATGGGTTTATGGAATACAGAGAGACTCAAATCAAAATGGATGCTAATGGGTGGTTAATCAAGTGATCTGTCTTACTACTAATCTAGAAAGTCTCATATGCAAACATTATAATTTTCTTTTGTTATTTGTCTAATTTAAGTCTTTGAAGTAGCCTGACCTAATACAAAGCTAATTGGCTCACTAGATGAACACAGTCGGGTGTTCTTCTGTATTCACATGAGTCAGTATAATGCAAATGCTTTGTTGCAAAGTTTTTGTTCTCTAAATTTAACTTTGTGCATAGAACTGCCAGAACAATCTTTAAAAACCTCATGTAAACATCTTGAATTTTTCCACGTATAGTTTTAATTACATTACGAGATTAAAGTATGATTTATTTGGCCATTGCAACCTAATCTGTCCTTGAATGGGTCTGCTGAAGTGAAATCAACTTGTGCACCCAATCCTGAATGAAAGTAATTATTAAGTACATTTTAATGATTAATGATTAGAGTAATGAATTGTTTCATGAGGCCTATTCTTCTCACATTATTCTATTATTGTGTATACGTGAAATACAGTGAGTCCATTTTAGAACCATTCACTCTATTTCAAGAACCGCTGAGCTAATTAAATACATTCACCCGAAAAAACAGTCAGGCGCTCCTCTGTTCCTTTCTGCCCTTCCCAGGCATGTGCAAATGAAGTTGGCTCTAAATAAGCCATTTGTTTAGAGCCCACTGAGTCGGAGTCACTCCACATTATTCTTGCTGCTGCTGCTGTTTTGAAGTACACAGACAGAACTGTGCGACCCCAAGGAATTGTGGGAGCCCTTTGTCATTTTCTCCTCGTTGATCGACTATGCGAGTGTCAAATTATAGGTTTGTGGCCAGTGCTTTGCTGACACTGTGCTGCTCATTAGCCCATTGAGACATTAGCTCATGAAAAATATAGTCTTTACTAGTCTAACAGGCATTATAATTACAAGCCTCTGAGGACTATGGTGCCAGTGCCAAGAGATGAACATCTACGAAACATTCTGCTGCTGTAAATGATCTGCACTCTATCTTGCACTCATTTTTTTTCATGACTGGTTTTGGGCTGAAGATTAAAGGTCCCATATTTCACTCTTTTTTTTCACAGTCCATCCCAGTCCAACATGTGTAATCATACAACACTCAAAACCAGCCACATTCTTCGTCTTCGGGCCAAATAGTGACGTCACATATTTACACCCAAAAACAAATGTTCTCCAAGTTGACATGATGCCAACACTTGCTGACAAAAGCAGAAAAACTATAATAGAAGCGGGCAGTGGTATACGTGGATGCTGGGAAAGGCTGTGTGCCCTGATTTGCTGTTTTGATTTCTCCCTCTGTCAATCACCTCCTGGAGGCGGGCTTCTGGAGCTCGTGCTGCGTAACAAAGTGTTATCGCTTCACAAAGTGAGTCGAGTCATTTTGCTGCCTGTCGAGACCGAAGGAGAAAAGTAAAAGAGCGTTATATGGGACCTTTGAGAGATCTTTTATTTGTCCCATTATAGAAAATTTTCAGTGTTACATCGCCAGTTACAGGGCAGTAGGAGGGACACATTGCCACAGAAGTTCTAGAAATGGGTTTCCCAATCAGCACCAATTAGTCACTTGTTCTGAAACATTTGCAGCTGGTTTAAGTGTAGTGCATAGGTGTAAAGTCTTAATTTTATGATTCTACTGCTTGCCATCAATGGCATTTTTCTGCAGTGGAGATAATGCACCACATATGGAGCGATCAACGCTACCAGAATACATTTCAAATTGGATTTTCCACCCCTTTGCTTTTGCTAATGTCTTTGATATTATTTCCGGATTAAGTGAAACAGTGATGTGTGAGATTACAACAAAGGGCGCCCGCAGAGAGAAGGGTGGTGTTGGGAGAGGTCAAGCCTGTAAAGCTCGTCTCATCTCTCAGAGGAAATGAGCCATTAGATTGAGTCCCCATTTAAGTCACCCAATCCTAATGGGTCATCTATCCTCACCATACAAACTTAGGAAGCGGGACCACATAGAGTTGGTTATCAGATACAACCACATAGACAAGCAAAATAAAAATGGTGGTAGCATTATTTCATCATTTTTTAAAGGGATCTTCTAAATCCTTCTGCCGATACGTAAATCGTGTAATGACAGTATATTACTCCAAAAGATGTTAAGAAAAAAACTATAATACATGCAACAAAGCTGCTGCTGAATACATTACTGTAGCGTCCTTGTTCATGATAGTGTAATCAGCTTGTTTTTAAACTGGAGTGAAGTGGATGCAGTCATTGTCATCTCTTTACCCTGACCTTAGCCTTTTGCCAGAAGGTCTTCTTTGTACATTGTGTACACATTACTAATGCTGTTAGCCCATGTGGTTGTATAATATCTATTACTTCTGGCAAGGATACTATGTTTTTTTTTATTGGTGGAAGAACGCAGTTAGGAACACTGTTGTCATAGAAATGGAATATTGTTTAATAATTTTTTTCCTAACTTGACCTAATTTACGGTGTTTTTCTTCTGCTTTTCATCAATTTGACCCAAGGTTACCACAAGGTGGTATGCTCATTTTTTACACTTTATTTGTGAACACATAAAGCATAATACTAATGTAAAGTACACATGTAAAATACATCTGTATAATATAGTTTAATGTAAAACGTTGTTGTACTTTTGTTAAGTTGTATAGGACAGTATCCAGTATTTAGTTTTATTTTGTAATTGGGGGTGGGAGTAAACAAGTATTTCACTTCTTCTCACTCCCTTTCAAGCAAAGAGCATTACTTCATTGTAAAAAAAAATATGTAATCTGTGTTAATATATATTGTTCACTATAATGTTTAGGATACCACAAGTTTGTGGTAAATTTATTTTTTGTTATTGTGTCATGCCCATGCTTGAAATAAATCATTCATTCATTAAAATCTCATAGTATCTGTACAGCTCCATTCAACTTTGACTTCTAATGTCAGCAGCAAAAGGAAAATACGGTGTAATGCCTGTTTTTTATTTTATTTTTTATCATTCTTCTTGATGTAACTTGAAAGAAATCTTAAGAAATGTTAGGTAATGTGTTCTCTGCGTCTCGACTTAAAGCTCAATGCAAACATCACCTACAGCATGACATATGACTTGGACCCCAGGACCACAGTCATGTGCTCTGATCTGACACCACATAAGGCCATCTCTGGAACATGTCATGTGTTTGAGAAATCAAATGAACACAGAAAGATGCCAAATGTGTAGTTACACATTATTTTTTACAAGTTGTTTACTAGTTGTATGATGTGCTGTTTATTTTTGACTCAATGTTGGTTTAAAGAAAACAAAAACAGTGCGAAAAAGAGTTTCCAGCCCTATTGTGATGAGCAGGAGACGTTTAGAGGAGACAGCAGGCTTATTGAAGACAGTGTGGGGAGTCTGTCCCCAGTGGTGTGGCTGATGTCCTTTCAGCCTGGAGCTGCATGAATCAGAGGCAGGAGCCTCTCCCAGTGTTAGTGGGAAGTCAGTGCATCAGCTTCTGCTGTGGTCTACAGTATACATTCAGATTAAATTCTATACAAATCATTGAGAATTTCATAGATGTGTATCTATAAATGTTTATCTGCATGTTAGAACAAGACACAGAGTCTGTCTGCAGTTGCAATGAGAATTAACGGCATGTCTTTAAATGAAAGTAGATTTGTTTTTGTGGTAATGCATAAAGTGAAGATTATGAAATTGATTAGCAATAAAAAATGAATTCCCGAATAAGGTGTGGCTATATCCGGCCTCCTCTCAGACTTTGACATTCAGTCAATAAGTCTTTGCATTGAAGATATTTCAAAAGAGAATTATTGAATAGAATTGGTGATTTATCCAAGTCCTTTGAAAGTGCTGACAGATATGTACTACATAGAGTGTGTAGGCACAGGGAGTAAATGGAGAATGGATAAGACCAGGAACAGGAGGAGACAGAATGATGGAAACATTAATGACAGGGCAATCTGTCAACACTCAGCGCTAAGACAAATGGCCCAATCTCTGTGTGTCACACCGCAGCCTCATGGGGTTATCTGTGTCAAGTGGTCAGGCATGTTTGGGAAATGCCTGAAAATTCCTCTAATTCCATCTCTATAATCCTATTTATTTCCACAAGGCAAAGCAATTTAAGCTTGATCAGAATTAGTTATCTCATAATTGAATTCAATGCATTTTTGTATAGCCCTAAATCACAACAGTAGTCATCTCAGATGGCTTAATCAAAAGGTTGATTGAGGCAATATAAGAGCCACTGGGCGG